CTATACTGAGGGTCAATAATGTTAAATGCCTCACACAAGAATTCTCCATTCACTCCTATCTCCTTGCAATCCCCCCATCCCAAATTAGAAGATGAGTGGCTGCAGCTGGAAAGGGAAATCCGTTCTACCAGCAGTTCTGCTCCACTAGTGGAACCCCACGCTTGGAAACTGCTTGTTTGGTTATATATCCTACCTCTTCTCCTCTTGTGGAACTTTAAGGTTCCCAGGTGGTTCCCCCCCCCCCCCAAGCTTGGGCCAGCCCCAGACATGCTTAGCTTCAACATGGCGGATGCCATATGTGCCTTCAGACCATACTCTGGGATACCAAAATATTTTAGTTTGATTTCTGGACATTCAGGGAGACACCACCCCTGTAATTGCTGATAACCTCAGCAGCTTAGCTTGGCTGAATACATTTGCATCTGCTGTGGAACAAGAATCTATTGTCATTTTCCAGACCCAAATAGACTCAAACTTATTTCTTGTATTACCTCTCTATATCACCCAGAAGTTCCCCAAGTGGGTCAGAACAGTTAGAACCATGAAACATCACAGCATGATAAATAATGGAAAAAACAGAAGAAATTAAAATGTCTGGAAGAATGAAAATGTTTTAATGTACATGCCAGATGAAAAGCCTCGGAAACTGGATGATATAAAATGAAATAAATCAATCGCTAGATGAAGGGCATTCCCCAACCAGGGTGCCACCTGGTTTAGTAGCCACCTGGCCTACCTCGCTTCATTTGGTGGGTGTACCTGGAGGAGACCTTCTAAGAGTGCTCTTGGTTCTGAGCAAGTAGTTCCGGGAGGGGCCAAGCCTTCAGGCAACCATCTCTAGTTCAAATCCAAATATTTTCCTCTGGAGACATGTTCAAGTTCCCCTGCTAGATAGGGCAACTTTCAGGACATCTTAGTACAGTATTCTGCTCATTTATAGAGGGCTTCATGTTTCATTGTTTGGGTGCCCTTATCATGGAACTCCAATTATAGGATAAATTGTTGTTCCTGCAACTTTTCCTTCAAAGGATATTTTAAATGTACAAAGAAACCTTTTTATAGCCCTTCTCAAGAGCATTGGAATGCATCACTTATAAACAGCTAGTGTGACATTATATTTAGAGTGCTGGATTGTGACTTGGGAGATCAAAAGTTCAAGTCCCCACTGAGGCCATGAAGCTCACCGAGTGACTCTGGGCCATTCACTGACTCTCAGACTAACCCATCTCACAGAGATGTTGCGAGGATAAAATGGGGAAGGGGGAGCATGTTTGCCTCCTTGGTGGAAAGGTAGGATATACATGTAATAATAATAAATAAAATGTAAAATTTATGGACATATCAACTTACATGTTTGCATATATTGCTGCTGTCTTCACATTAAATTTTCATCTTAGGTTGTCTGTCATTTTGCATTTATTTTGTAAAGAAAACGTGTGTGTGTGTGTAAAACTAAAAGTACAGTAGGACCCCCCCCCCCATCTTCTGTCTCAGGTACTGTGGTTGACTGCAGCCCACCACATTCATGGGGGGGGGGGGAATGCAAATATCCCTAGAGTCTTCATGCCTACTGAGAGACAAAACATGGGAGTGAGGCTGGCTATTTATTTCATTCCACTTCTATGCTTCCCCATAACCTGAAGGTTTTCTGGGTGACTTCTTTGGGCTAGTACCCGGACAGTGTCCCTAGAGATATTTGGGTTTTTTCCACTTTTGAGGGAGTCCTGCAATCCTATTCCCTGCAAATGTGGAGAGCCCACAAAATATAGTGCTCGTTACTATCCACAGTTTCAGGCATCCGCTGGGGGGCTTGGAAAATATCCTCCATGGATACAGGGACCCTACTGCAAACTCCTTTTAACTGCCAAATGATTGGTCAGTCTAGTCCACTGTTGCCAATGCAACCTGGCAGCAGTTTCCCAAGGCCTTTTTCTGTCCCACAACTCAAAATAATTTTAGCTTGAGGTACCAGAGACTGAACCTCAGACCTTATGCTGAGGCAGCAGTATAACTCCCCCATCCCATGATCTCTGGCAATGGAAGCAGAAGGGCTGCAAAGAGTTCTTTCCAGTGCCAGCTGAGTGGCTTTGCACAATGTTCCCATGAGGCTGATGCACACTGCACAAAGCCTGTGACTTGGCTGGTGCCAGGAAGAGCAGCCAAGATGCTTTGCACACTGAAGTCAGAGCCTCAGGAAGTGCTGGGAGGGCCTGCTGCCATTCTCGCCTCCCCGCCCCCCCACCGCCCTGCAAAGCAACTGTCTGCTCACTAGAGGAGCACTGTTGCTCTGGAGTAGCACTATGGAAGCACTCCTCTGTGCTGCCACACTCAGTGCTAATGTGTGAGCACACCCACCTCTCTCTCATCTCTGCACATATGTCCATAGGCAGGACTTGCACACACTGCCATGGAGCTGCCTCCCTCCTGCACCGAGGCACACGGAGAGCATCCATGTGGACACCCAGGGAGCGTGGCAGCGTTTCCTGCTGGGCAGGCTTTCCCAGGTTTGCCTGTGTGGGCATCTGCCTGGGCAATTTTTCTGGCAGGCTGCTAGGACAGTATTTGTCCAGCAACTCTGTGGGGCAGTAGAAGATAATCGGGCTTGCTGAGAGTCTCAAGGATTGTTGGGGACTCAAGAAGATGACAGGAGGCAGAGTGGGAGACACGGGCATCTCATGGTGATCACCCTGATGGCGATGCCTGCAAACAGTCAATGTGCTCCTCCTGTGTAAGACAACAGTAACATGAGACAGACACTGTCCATTTCCAAGTGCCAGTCCAGTAAAGTGCAGCATCCAGTTCAGAGGGCCGACTAGGGCTGTCACTCTGTTCTCGCTGCTGCTGGAGGCAGCACACTGCAACATTGTGTTGCTAGTGAACTTCTGAAGCTGCATTTGAACATCAGTGCTGCATGGACATAAGAAAAAAACCCAGTGTGAGCCAGCCAATCAGAGCACATCATGCTCTGACACATCAGTTGCTAGGCAAAACAGGATAATAGAAAATACAGGGTGGAACATATGCTGCAGCTGTGGCCACTCTTGCCCCTAAACTCTATGGAGTTCTTCTATGGAAGAAATATTACAACTGAGTGCAGACAGCAAAACAAGCATGCAAATCTTACAACAAGTTGTTTCTCTGCATGGATTCATGGAAGCCAAACATAGCATGCCTCACCAAGGATGCTGGGCTCAGGCAATGACAGGTCACATCCGCAGTTTTCACTGTGGCATGTCATTATGTGTGAACCCACCCATTGTGTGTCATGTATTAAATTTATATTGTAAGCCTGCAGGTAGGGACTGTCATGCTACTTAAGCCTGTAAACTATGCTGAAAAACTTGTTGGCCAAAGCACAGAGCAAGAGAGAGTGGGGAATATATATATATATATATATATATATATATATATATATATATATATAGTATAATAATAAAGAACTATTTCTAAGTCTGAAACATTTTTATTATCTTAAAACTGGTTGCTCAAGTACTTTGTCATTTTAAACTTTTAGTTAGTCAAACAACAAATAAGGGTCTGCAGTTGTTTTGCCAACATATTGCATATTCAGATGTGCATGAGATATTTTGCATAATATTATGTCTTAAAACAACAGTTTGTCTGAGACAGGTATAGGTGAATTCACAATGATGTAGCCCATGAGAGACCACAACTTTTTGTTCAGCTTTTAGAAATGGTTTGGTGGCTGAGGAGGAGCAGTAAAGGGAGGTCACTGGTAGATTTTCTGAGGAATCCTTGGAATTGTTTCTGTTGATATAACTTTTGCTGTTCTTACAGTTACATTGCCAAACACACAAGTACTTACTAGAGCAGCTTTAAAATATAAATTACAAAATGCAAATACTTCTGCCTGCAACATGCAATATGTTGGAAAAGCAACTACTAACCTTTGTACTCATAAAAGAAATCACAAGTCAGCAATCTCATCCACACACACAAAGCTGGATATCCTGTTGCAAGACATTATTATTAAAGTGGCTACAGCTGCTTAGACTTGGAAATATTCCTAGGAGAAAGGCCATAGAATAGGATACTAGATACAAAAGTGAATGTCTGACTGAATATTTACAAGATTTATATATCCCCTCTACAACCAAAACAATTCCTGGGTAAGTAAAAATATAGAAAAATGAAAGAATCAAAGTACAGCATTAACATCTTTAACATCCAACTGCGCTAATAAAAACACGAATGATTAGTCAAGGAAGGCTTGTTTAAATAAAAACGCCTTCAGCATGGGCTGGACATGAGCAGGGAAGGATTTCCTTGGAAAAGAAACTCATGCACCGAAGGCTCTATTCCAAGTAGACTCCAAAGACAGCAGTAGGCTCTACGGAACCAGCAGCACCTTATCTGCTGACCTCAGTATCATGGCAGTCTAGTAAGGGAGAAGAGGTTCCTTCAGATACCCTGATCTCAAGTTGTTTAGAGCTTTATACATCAACCTCAAAGCCCTAAATCTGGCCGTGTAGCAACTCTGTAGACTTAAAACAACCAGATCTTGTAGATATTAAATACAAAGGGAAAGGAAGAACCATATCCAATGCCCGGAGTTCTTCGACAGTTGGGTAGAATTGCAATAAATACAGGAGAAAGTATTCATTCAGGAACGAAGAATCGAATCTACGCAGAGCGCTTTTTCACGAATGCCCGCAGACTCTTTCCCGTCCTTTTGATTATCTCCGCGCCCATACAAACAACTTCTAGAACGCGCTGCCCGACTATCAGGAAAGCTATTCCTTTTTCTGCGCATGCTCCACACTTCTCTACTCAGAAGCTCCTACCACTTCTCTCTTCCTACCTGAGGCTTTGCCCCGCCCCACTACCGGAGCTCCCGGCGGAGCGGACGCATGCGCAACTCCGCGGTAAACAGGGGAAAGGCTTGGCTCCTCCCACTGCACGGCGTGAACGTCTTGTGGGCTTCCCTTTCGGGCAGAAGATTTTTTTTCCCACTCGGTTGCGCCTGCGCGCCGGCCTTACATCCGGGCTCTGGGGCAGGATGAATGCTCCTTTTCAAGATGGCGGCGGAGGGAGGAGGGAAGGAGATGAACGAGATTAAGACCCAGTTTACCACCCGCGAGGGTCTGTACAAGCTGCTGAGCCACTCGGAATACAGCCGGCCCAACCGGGTGCCCTTCAATTCGCAGGGCTCCAACCCCGTCCGCGTCTCCTTCGTGAACGTCAACGACCAGAGTGGCAACGGCGACCGGCTCTGCTTCAATGTGGGCCGGGAGCTCTACTTCTACATATACAAGGGGGTCCGCAAGGTAACCCGCCGAGGAGGGGCGAGCGTTGTTTGACGGGGCTGCTGACTGTGTGGAGGAAGGGGCTGGGATGAAGATAGCTCGAGGCTGAGCGGTGGGTTAGGTGCCTCCCGGCCCTGTGGCTGGACTCACCCTTGGGAATAAGCTGCCTGGGTAATGTGTAGCAGGCTTCAGGCACACCGTAATTGTCAGTAAGCCTCTTTCTCCTCTTTATTATCCGGTCAAGAGCCCACTTCCTGTGACTTCCTCCCGCCCCCCCCTCCGTGAGAATAAGTGGGGAGGTAACGTAATGATTACTCCGTTTGATTTTTGCGGAGGGCGGAGTTGTTTTTGCTCACCTCAATGGCGCAGGCAACCCAGGATTCTGATTTCTGTGGGAAATCACTTGTCTTTTTCTTTTCTTCTTCCTTTTCTTTTTTTTAAACAATTGAGACTAGATAAACCCTTGCCTCCGAAAGTTGTATTTGACCCTGACAGGGAACACAAATCACCTCTGGAAGTGTGTGAGGGCTGAGAATTAGCTATTAGAGAAGTTCGTTTTCTCCTGGTGAGAGAGGGAAGATGACAGGAATGACTCGCATTAGTATTCCTATGTAGGTTAATTTATTTAATACCTCTCTCCACGTTAGCTAAAAATGTTCCATTCACATGTTTACACCTTGAGTGTGCAATCCTGTGCATGCTTCCACAGGAAAAAATGCCATACAATTCCCAGCATTTTCTATCTGAACATGTATAGGATTGCAGCTGAATAGATATATTTTTGATGAGGGCAGCATATTAAAGAACTGTTTGCATGGTGGCAACTCTCATTAAGGTATATATATCAAGTCTTGGTTTTATCTGGGAATACTTGATAGCTTGCTGTTGAAAGAGAAGTTACAACAGTAACCATGGAGGAAGGAAAAAGCTTTTTTCTGTTGAGAAGTGTTCTCAAAGTAGTGAAGGTGCTTTAAGTCATTGTTTGCTATGTGTGATACTGCATGCAATAAAAACAGCTCTTCTAATTATTTTTCTGATTTTAAGTAATCACCATTTAGCTTACTTGCAAGTATAATTTAGAAAGTCTGTGTGCTCCTTATGTTGGGTTGTCTAATGTGTATTTTACTGAATCTAAGCATCAGAAAGTTGTGTTCTTCTAATTTATATTGAAATGTATTTCCTGCTGAACAGTAATATGACAAATTTCTAGCAAAATATTGATAGCTTTAAGGATGAGTGGATAATAACCAACCCTGGAAGACTCAGTTAAGCACATGAAGTAATGTCCATATCCTGTATGCATGTATCTGCCCTGTATCTATATGATACATTCTCTTCAAATAAATTTGTTGAGATGTTCTGTTTGAATATAAGGGATAGGCTTCCTAATAGTGGAAAATTAAGTTTAGTGCACTCTCATTTCATAGCTTGATGAAAAGTATTGCTGAATTTTAATTGTATAAGCTTTTTTTGGCTCTTCTGTGCAAGTTACTGTCACTAAATTATTCCAAGATTTTATTAAAACATATGTTCATCTTTCCTCAACTGTCTGGTCTGTACTATAAAACTGTGTTTTATATGGAATATTTACAGTCATATGCCACTCACAAGAACAAATGTTCAGTAGGCCTAAGTGAGCATATAATTAAGAATGTCTGTGGCATCACAACTATAGAAAACAGTAGGAGGAAAAACAGTATGGAAGTAGGACACAGATTGTCAAGTGTCATCTTACAACCAAAAAGTCAAAAGTACAGCTATTTTATTGTATTTTTAGTAGCTTCTTAGTAAGTCCTTTTGAATGGAGCATTTTGAAAGCATGGCCAATAATTAACTTAGAAACGTCTTTCTGATCTGGTTGTTTAATATTTTGTAAGGTACTATAGAAGTCAAGCAATATTTACTTAAACTAACACTGTAGTACTCTGCACATGTACCCAGGAATGCAACCCAATTTGAACACACTAGGGATATCTTTTGAACAAACATCCATAGGATTGTGCTGTAAGATCACTAGAGACTGTTAATACCTTAGAGAGCAATGTAGGAAGCTGCCTCATACTAAATCCATCTAGCTCATTGTTTACACTGAATGGCAGGGGGCTCTTAAGGTTTTTAGCCATACTTGGAGATACCAGATATGGAGCTTAGGACTTTCTGCAGTCTGGACAGGTGCTTTACCCACTGAATTGCAGTCTTGCCCCAAACAGGCTTCCTCGGCTGGGCATCAAACCTGGGCTGTGATGGTGAGAGCACTGAATCCTAACCACTGTCTCATAGGAAATTTTAAATGTGTTTGAAACAAACCCAGTATTTTAGGTGCTACTCTAGTTTATGAACATGAACTCAGCTGCCAATGTGCTATAGATAATCCATATGGAGATGCACGGGCCATTAAATATTTTTGGTAAACTATGGTGCTTGACACAGCAAGTGATTTATATCTGGAGCATTACTTTTATTAAGTAGATAAATAAGTTTAAGTATCTGTAAAATAAGTTTTTGTGTTTAAAGTATGCTTGCTTCTTCAGGCGATAACTTAGAAAATGTTAGACAACTTTTCAGAGAAACTTAAACAGTATTTTCCCAAAGAAATAGAAGGAAGCAGAAAACTTAATGTAATTTCTGAAAATATAAATGACAGAATATATTCTGCTCTAGTCAAAAACAGGATCAGATAAATACCTGCTTATATTCTCAATAAACCTATAGTATAAATGATGTAAATAAATCAGTCTTTTGAAATTTAATGTTCATGTAATTTTAAGGCTGGTTTCCATAAAAGTTGATTTTTTAAAACAATGTTAAGTTTCTCAGTTTCAGGTAATTGCCCGCATTTTTCCCCTAATGCTGTGGAGTACTCACCACTGAAGACAGCAGAATTTCTGTCCTAAACCATTAGCTTTAACTGCTACAAACAAATATGATATACATAAACCCATTAACCACCGTGGCTTTGCGCATGGCCAGGTTAAGCAAATTCATGCACAGCTGAGGTCTCCCCAAATGCATGGCAGTACATTTCTACAGAATTCTATATATCTAATATAAAGCTAATGCCTTAGGACTTGGCACATCACCATCCTCTCTGTCTACCAACTTGTATAGCCCCTTTTTCATTTTATGGCATTATTACTAATATTAATACAGTGTCATCAATATACATAGCATGCTATTGAACAACAAAAGAAATTCCACACTGGGAAAATGTTGACTTAAAATATTTACATTATGAATAAATATAGGGAGCTGCTTTGAATCGACTCAAGAGCTTACAAGGACTCAGTGAAAGCTTTCTCTTTTTACTTTTACAGCAAATGATCCCATTTATCACAGATTGTGGTAGTTTACAAAGGGAAAAGGGAAACATTTAATTGGTTCCTTGCAAAAGCTTGAGTAGGCAAAATATTCATATTGTAAATATTTTAAATCATAAACTCCTTATGGCAGGGGCAGTTGCTTTTTTCTGTGTGTGTTGATGATGCTGATATTGAGGCTTCATATTAAAAGCAACTGATTCTAAGGAATGCTGGATAAAGTAGTGATGTACTGCTGATGGAAAGATGCAGTCCAAGTACATGCTATTTGTGAATCCTACTCTTTTTCATCATTTTGCAGATCATTTTTAGGCTGGTAAGGTATTAGAAATGTGCTCTACTTGAAGTATGCAAGATATTAGATGCAAGCTTATTAAATGATGAAGGGTTGAGAGTTCTTGGTTTGTTTTTTGTGGGGTATACGGTACTAGCATTGCTGAAGACAACTGAAGATCACATGATACTATAGATTGAGCTTATAGCTCAGAGCTGATAGACTCTGTTCCACAAATGTGTGTAAATTTGTACTCAGTTTCTGCTAGCTGCATAATCTCCTTTTGACATATTATTTGTAATTAGTTGTGGCAAATCCACTGACACTAGGAGCCATTGGTACTCTAGGGCAATATACTAAGGTCTGTATCCTCCTACCTGGGAATAAGCCCAATTGAACTCAGTGGAGCTTACTGCTGAGTAGACCTTTATGTGATTGCATTGCAAATATCACTTTAGGTGGATTAGCAATGCCTTTAATCTCTTTATTAACCTAGTGAACTTAAAGCAAAAATAGATTTTCCTTCCTTTTTGTGCATATCACATCCATCCCTAGAATGTTATCTATGCAGGTGAATGAAGGAGATTCTAAGTATTCCCAACTAAGTTGTACTATATATGCCCTGGTTTTAATTCTGATTAGTCTGAACAAAATAGTTACTACTTGAATGAAAGTGGTTGGTATTGTCTTCAGTTGTATTACAGAACACACCTGGCTTTACTGAAATATGGAATGTTTTTAGCTACTTCTAAGAAGTTGTCAAACAGAACGTACAGGAAATGCAGGCACTGCAGACTTGTTGTAAGATGTCTCTGGTTACTGAGGAATCTATCTCTAATGTTCAAGTTTGTCAAGACAATCTGTTGATAAATCGTGATGGTTGAATTTACATTGGTTAAACAGGGAAATAAGTATGAATATTGCTCTTACAAAGTATTTGATAGTTTAATCTATTACATCATAGTGACTTTAATGATACATAGAGACAAATATTTTTAGAAGTACCATACTGATGTTTGCCTCTACCACTGAAGTTAAAAGTGCTAACTTCTTAAGTGAAAGTGAATGTTTATGAAGCCAAACTTGCACTTTATTGTGGGGACTCTGGATTTGATTATATGTCATAGAGAGGTGATGAGAAATGAAAGCACCTGTTTTCCATTCCTGGAATGTCTGTCACAGTCTAACCTCCTGTCTTCCTCTGAATTTATGATTGCCTTCTAGAAAAAAAAGTTTGCTTTATAAAAAAGTTGGTATTTACAAACTTTTCCAGAGTGATGTTCATGCTAGTTGAATACTGTTCTTTGAAGTGCAGAGTCAATAGTGTGATAAGGTTAATATCATTTATGACTTTAATAATACAAAGTTTCTGATTTGCACTCTGATGTAACAAATATTTTTAATTGACTTGGTTTATTGAATACAATAGG